AACGCGACCCGGCAGCGCAATATATACCCGTCTTCGGGTTCTGGTTCAAACTGCAAAACCCGTATCCATGGGGGAATCCAAGGGAGAGGGGGGAGAGGTGAGGTTGAAAGGTTCCTCCTCCCCCCCAACAGCACAGGCACCAGTGCGACAAGAGTCCGGATTTAAGGCTAGGACTAAACTAAAGCCTAAAGTAACTCTAAGTGGCAGTGTGTTACAACTTTATTCCTAGTTTCTGCATAGTTCCAGAGTGGAAGAGGACTTTCCTACGCACCCGGTCGCCCTCCCCTAGGGACCTACCCCTCGTCCCCCTCCCCCTCTCCCACTCCCTGTCGTCCCTCTATGAGCTTCTTTCCTCGCATCAGGGCCCGGGTGTGAGGTTCTAGCTGTCGCGTTCAAACCCGCTAACTTTCCTCCCATTAGGAGTTCCCTGTTGACTGTAGAAAACCCATATAGTCCCCTTTCCCATCAAACCCGCATCTGTTTCCAGTTCCTACCTCCAAGCGGCCAAACTCTGCCAGCGGGGCAACAAGTCTTTTTACGACTCGTTCATTCGTTTCGATGTTAAAATTGGTACTCCTGGCGCATGCCGGGAAGTCGGATAGCCTGCTTCTAAGCAACCCTCGAAAGAAGGAGGAACAGCCATCGATAACTTTTCTGCCAACGACGTGCTACTCTTCGGGCTACTTTCGAGTGCTTTTGCCTTTTACTGAGTGTAAATACAGCGGGGTTCCTTATCCTCCGAGTATTCGTTCATCCAGGAAAATTCTATCATTCTGTGAAAAATCCCGTAAATTATGCCGAAGCATCGGCATGGCATCGTGATTTTTTCGCAGTTAGCCACGATCGCAGCGATTTCTTCCTGGTCCGTCCGTGTTGTTTTTAGCTAAATCAGTTCTTTTTTGTTTTTCAGGATGGATGTATGGCTGGGTGTAAGGTAGCCTTGTTAGCGACGAAATGAAAGCGCCGTGGTTTCCTGGATTCAGATGCTCCCGAAGACTGCTATCTTACAAACCGAGAGCCGTGAAAGGTTGAATATTTGCCGTGTTTTTGCTACTTTTAAGCGAGTATCTGCTCATAGGCAGATCCACGGGGTGGAGAAGGGGCGGGGCAGGGGGTTTTTTGCCCCTCCTCCCAAAGTAGCACAGGCACCAGTGCTGCAAAAGTCCGGGTCTAAAGCTAAAACTAAAGTCTAAAGTAACAACTCTAAGTAGCAGTGTGTTACAACTCTATTCCTAGCTTTTGCATAGTTCCAGTGTGGGAGGAAGCTCTTCTCCCCGCCCCCCTC